TTTTCTTAGAGTTCTTTTTTCCTCCTGTTATCCATACACAGCCAAAGAAAGAGAAAAATTAATTACATTAAGTAGAGCAACTGTACCTTTTATATTTTTTTAAGACAGCATTGGTTTTAAGTAGTTTACCCCATTTTCAGACCATGTGTTCCAATGTTTCGTCCGGAAAATAGAGTTTTCATCAGCATGTCACTTCTATGCTATGAGTAGAACCTTCTCACATATGAAACAACTAGTCTCTCTTAAATTACAGTAGATTTATCACCCNCGGAAAGAGAAAAATAACTCACATTGATAAAGTGAATTATCATAGTTCACTTTAGTACCCCGCTTTATTTTGATCCCACTGGGATGTTTTCAGCTGGGATATTTTCAGCCAAGAGTGCCATGTGTCTAGACCAGTATAATTTGGTCAAAGCCCATTGTAGCTTTCTGGCTTCCAAAAAAGCCCTTATTCAAACATGTTTTTGTAAAATGCAACCAATGTGATTAAGACTTCAGTCTCTATGTAAAGTCCCACAAATGGACCTTTCCAAAGGAAAGCTGTTGCTCTCATTAAGGTAGTGTTTTAGAGTTTAGGGTTTTGACTAGGCATCACAAAATACTTGCCTCATGCAGTTTACTGGGTCCTAATAGATCTACAGTTTATATGTCTAGTGACTTCCATTTTTTTTTTGCATTCGTATCCTCCTGCTGTGTTATTTGGAAAACATTCTCTGAACTCTAGGAAAATAGTGTATTATATACAAAGTCAAAACTAGCAGCCCACAGACCTGTTTTATTTGGCTCCTGAAGTGTTAGCGTGTAAAAAAAAAAAAAAAAAAGAAAGAAAAGTCTGGCAACTCTGGCCCTACATTGCCTCATGAAGTGAAAAGCTGGGGCATTTGATTTCTCCTTTGCTGTAGTCATTCAACTCCCAATTTTTTTACACTGGACTAGTCTATTTATGTTACCTGTCTGGCTGCTGCAGGCCTTAGAGTTTGTGAGCCTTAATGTATGCCCCTTTAGGCATAATGTGGAGCACAGTGTCCTTATAAACCAGTAGAGGCAGGCGGTGCTTTTTGAGCGTTAATTTCTAAAAATTAACTGTAGAAGCAACTGAATTGGGTTGTCGTAATGTTTCTTGTAAAGATGACTAGTGGTTTAGCTACAGAACAAAATTCACTGTAGTGAAGTGGGATTCTGAAAGAAAGTAAGATTTAAATTAGGTTTTTGACAATCAGTAGATTTGCCTAGGTATAGAGGGAGGAAAAGATGTTCCAATATATATTGAGGTACCCTGGAAGATTAGAGCAGCTTGGTTGTCACCCACGCCCTCCTTGGGATGAACCAATGGTGAAGCTGAAATTGTGACAAGAAGCTTTGAGAGCCAAGTTAAGTTTTGTTACTGTGGTAATACATTTCCGTACAATAAATATTTTGGGGGCACCTTCTATATTTTAGATATTTTGTTAGGTGTGGGAAGTACAGAGTCGAATAAGTCATAATTAGCATGAGAGATAGACTCTATCTAGTCATTTGCTTGGGAACAACATAGATATCATTGCTGATTTGGAGTCCCCATGTAGCAATTTTCTCTACCATAAATTAGGAATTTGCCTCTATCTTCCACTGATAGGAGCAAGGACAGAAAATTGATACATTGGTATTAAACCTAAATATACAAGAAAAGAAACACATGTATAATTCTCTGCCTCTGTACAAACCTGGAAGTGAAACATTAACAAACATTACTCTTAAAGGCAACACTTTAAAAGCAAACTACATTTAAATAATCATTTATACCTTTCTCATTATAAATCTTTTCCAAATTCTTCCCAATCTAATGTTACACAGTCTTCTCTGTTTTCTCTAAATTTGCTTGTACCCTTTGTCACAGGGATTTCTGTGTAGGGGTCATTCCTGTTGCTGCTTTCCTTCAGAGCTAGCCTCTGGAGTAATTCCCCAGATATTAAAGTTCCATTTTCTTAGAGTTCTTTTTTCCTCCTGTTATCCATACACAGCCAAAGAAAGAGAAAAATTA